ACAACAAACAAATCTTGATCGACATATGAAAAAACATTTATCACAATGTGTACAACGAAATGGTCGTTCACGTTTATGAATATTTCGTATATGTCGTTGTAAATTTGATGAGATTGAAAAACTTCGATTACAAAATTTGCATACATACGGCTGTTCTCGTAAAGCAAAAAAGAAAAAGAAAAAGAAAGATTAGAATCTCTGTAAAAAAATATATATTTCAATTTCTTAGACATAATTGTATGATCATTCAATTTCATATAATATTATTCGTATCAGCTGGTGTTATTGAACACACTTCATTTCATTGAAATGAATATTTTAATAGAACTAGTTCTTGAACTATCACTCACAATCATTGCTATTCTAAATTATTGAATGAACTGTGACAAGTCCTTCATTTGACTACTAACTATAATGAAATGTAGGAATCACTTAAGAACTCAAACGCCAGGAAAAAAAAAGAAAATATCGAAATATTTATCAATAATGATTATTCATTGGTAGAATCTTTATCTCCCAATCATATTACAAAGGAGAAAAAAGTAAGGTTGTTTAATTATAATACTTATCTGTATGAGTTCGAAGATGTCGTGTAAGATTGGCACTACGTGGAAATGTTTTTGAACAATATGAACATGAATATCGATCTCGACTTCTAATTAATGTTGTATCATTTGTTGATAAAAATGTTTTTTTTTCAAATGATGAAATTGTTTGAGGACTTGATGAAGATGATACTGGTGTTAATGGTCTATGATCATCATAATCTTTCATTTGTTTTTTACCTAATGACAATAAATGATCATCATCTTCATCTTCTTCATCATCATCATCATTATCATTATCAGCAACAGCATTCATTTGTTGTTCATAAAAATGTATATCTTCTTTTTTAAATTTTTTTTCTTGTTTATCATTACCAAATACATGTGATGTGTGTTGAGAATTAAAATCATTTTTTTTACGTATTATAGAATAATCAATTGGTTGATCAATTGATGATTGTCTTGAACGTTTAAATGATTTTGTTAAATCTATTGGTTCATTTGGTGATATGGATATATCAGTTTTATTTGTTCGATTTAATATTGATGAAGCATCAATAAATGGAAGTAAAGCAGCTAAATTTGGTGCAACCATTGTTGTTGAAACATGTCGTTCTTTACAAGAACTTCTAGAAGTAGAAGAAGAAGAAAATTAATTTTGAAATTTTATCTTTTTCTTTCTTTCTCGTTAATTTACCTATGTTTATTCAATGCTACATGACTTTGAAATGCTTGACCACAATCTTTACATTCAATTTGTGTACGTTCATTAGCATGGGATCGTTTATGACGACATAAATTTGAAAATTGTGTATAAGATTTTGGACAATACTAAATATCGAAATTAGTTTTAAAGTCACTAGACTAAACTATATATTTCTTACTTCACATTTCCAGGGTTTTACACTTGAATGAATATTTCTATGTTGTTTTAAACCTGATGATGTTTGAAAACTTTTTCCACAATCACTACATGAATAAAGACGATTTTCACATTCACTTGCTTCACTTGAATTTGATGCATTTCCATTCATATTTGTAGATATTGTACCATTGATAATCATGTCACTACGATCATACATTCTAAAATAGACACATACACATATAAAATTCTCGTCTTTCTTTATTTTTTGCTTCGGTCGGAAGTTGTCGAACGACGTACATTCTTAAAATTAAAGTTTGAATGATTAAATATGAATCGCTTGTGAAAGAAAAAGACATACACTCGTTTTTCTCTCGCTTTTTTTTCTTGTCTGTCTCTCTCTCTCTCTCTTTGCTTTTTGAGTATATTAAAAATGAACTGGATATTTGTTTTTATCTGCTTATACAATATATTTCTCTAATTAATATTATTAAGAAAACAATTTCTATCCAACGGCGAATATGACTTTGTTTTTATTACCTATGTTGATGATCATTTTGTTCATTCTTTATCATTATTTCATTTGCTAAAATTAAGAAAAATACAAAATGTTAAAACACGTGTCTGAAAATTTCTTTTCTTCTTACTGTCTTGATTATCGTCATCAGAATCTTTATTGTCTTGTTGAATAACATTTGAACATTTCATAATCATTCGTTCATTTGATTGTTCTTGAGATTCTAAATGAATATATAAAAATCAAATTTCACACATAAAATAACGAACTCATTATCCATCAACGAGTATTTTGTTGATGGATATATTTATATATATATATATGTATGTACGCATGATCCAAAGAAATAAAAATCTATAGATTGTTTTTAACAGCAAAGGAAAAAGATATGTATGATAATGAGCCGACAGAGTGTCTCATACATTTGGTGCCCCGGCTGCTACCTAGAAAATGTGCATCTAATTGACAAGAGAAGTAGATTGTCTGTCAAAAATGAAAATCAATAACTTACTGTCAGTATTTTTATTCAAATGAAAGATGCTAAAAGACATGAAATTGTCATCGAATGAATTTTTATCTTCTTTTTTTCTCATTCTATAATTTGCTGTCTCGCTCTCTCTTTCTCTTTCTTTCTTTTTCGCTCTCGTATTCTATCTTTCTCGCTCTCA